TTTCTAGTAATCTTCATTATTAACTAGAGTTCATTGAAAATCATCAATTTTAATCTTTCATACCAAAGCCTATGAATACTTATTCATCTGTGTTGAAAACAGAAAATGATACTGAGGTGTATGATTAAGCACAAATATAACATCCTCAAAATATATAATGTCACACATGTAAAAGAGGCAAAAACTGAACTGATATATTTAAGTTATGAACTTAGATTTGCATACTTCAAAAGTGTTACTGCAAGTGCTTAAATACTAAATTTCACTAACTTTTTGGTTGATAAAGTTAAAAAAGCAGATTATGACTAAGCTACCAAACAAACATCAGATACAATTTGTTTTTTTTTTTACAAAAACAACCTTTAACCAAACTTATAAAAAGAAGATAGAAAACTGAAAGGACTCTTAAATAGTTAATTATGACAGTGGAAAAACTTCAATTGCCAACAATAAGCTTCCTGGACCAATTGAAGAATTTTCTGGGTGCAATAGTCACTCCTTCTAAATCATGATAGACACACTAAATGCTACACAAAAAACTAGCAAAATTTATGATTTCTAATAAATTTTGATCAATAACAAAGAGAATATTAGAAAGAAAGTATTCGCTGATGACATCACTCTAGGGAAGAATTTACCTAACTCCGATTCAGGCAAGTGGATATACAGATCTTGGCCACCAGTTTGAAACAATTTGATGTCAATTAGGTCGCCAAACCAAATGACACAACCACTTGTGTCTGAATAAGCAAAGGCCGAGCATGAGCAAATACTGAAGCACTTAACTCTGCATTGCTCCATACCAATATTCTCATCAAGCCAAGAATATGTAGTATCTGGTACTTTCACGCCAACATATTTGATAAAGCCAGATGTTGAAGTGTTTTTTTCGCAGCTTAATGGAACATTGCGGATGCATCCTTGGCTCCAATTCTTTGCATTCCATTCTTGTGGTGACTTTGGACTGAATCCTCGTAGACATTTGCATGCTGGTGACTCTTCAGCCATGCAAATACCGTTGGCACCACAGAGACCATATTTATCACACTCATCACTCGGGGTAGATTCATGGACTGACACAGTGACAGTGTCGGTAGCTACTGATGACATTTTGAGAGAGGGAAGAAGCATGTAAGTAACCATAATCATGAAAGAAAAAATTTCCATTGAATAGTAGGTTATTTGGACACTGATGTTATGGTTTCTGATTCAGCTCAGCATATCATACTTCATTGATTCATCAGAGAATAATTCAGTATGGTTCCTACTTCCTCATTCCTACTTAGTCAAACGTACCTGCGCGTTAATTTAGAACCAACCACAAATGACTTCTTTGGTATAATAAATTTATCTTTGCCTAGTTTGCAATGTTCCAACCAATCACCACATGACAGGTGACAACATTTTTACTCGAATTGGCTATTTTTGTATGTCTCTTGAGATTGGTTGGAATCATATATCAGTAGGTCCTACAGGATAATTTAAATTTTTTTCTCTTGTTTGACTAAATGAATTCAAAGACATTATTTTTTTGAGTATATAGAAAGTCAAAGTCTTTACTCTCCATCGTCAAACTTGGACATCCAAACTTTTTATATTAATTTTAATTGAATATAAGTTTAGTTTATATAAAATCACCGTGTTTTGATTTTAGTGTTTATAATTTCTTTTTATTCTTTTAAAATTTGTAAACATTATTTGTGGTCCACCTAAATTTTAGTTTTGGTCTCTATAAAATATTTTTTTATTTTCATTTTTTAAAAGCTTAAATTCATTGGATTTGATTATCATTTTAAAGTAAATAAAAAAAATATCTATTTTAAGAATTTATAAAAAAAAAATTCTGAAGTTTACCACGTTAACATGATATTATTGACGGTTGAGATATCATCTAAAATGGTCACTTAACTTTATAATAAACACATGTTTAGTTAAAAAAAATGCTCAAATAATAGTAAGAATAAAAAACATAATTTCAAATATTAAAAAGAAGAAAAACAGAAGAAAAAAAATTATGGAGACCAAAATCAAAACCTTCTCTTTTTAAATGGATTAAAAGCACTCGCTTTAGACCTCAAAAAGAAAAAATTCATTTATAGGCTTTCTAAAAATATTTATTATTAATATTTATAAAAATAAAAAATAAAAAAATATTATATTATTAACTATTTTTGAATAATTTTTCTAGAAAAATAATCTCATTTTATCATAATTTTCTCTCTCCTCATAAATATTAATTATATTTTAAATAAATAATAATTATGTAACCAATTCTTTCTCTAATTAATAGTGATTTCATTGATTTATTCCATCTCATCAGCTATTTCTCCTACTATTACAAATATTCCTAATCTATTCTCTCTAACTCTTTGACTCTTTGTATTTCACTCTCTAATTAAACTTTATTAATTTAAAAAAAGGCTCCATCTAAAATATTTACTTTAGGGTTAGAAAAGTGTTGGGATATCTTGAGTCCAGGATATATATCCTAGACAGAGTTATGTTACAGTCTTCGAAATGATTGTCCGAATTTTTGTTCAAAACTTTAAAATATTAATATTTTTTAATAAATTTATTATAAAATAATTATTTAATTTTATATTTTATAATTTAAATTATTATTTTAATGATTCTGAATGAATTGGGCACAGGCATTGGGAGTTTGAATATTTTCCATCCTAGACATGATTGCTCCTCATCCCACTTGGTCAAACGTACATCCACGTTTAGCCCCCCGCATGATGTTCTTTCGAAAAATGATAACATTATTAAATGGTAAGGGTAGACCACCTCACTTAGAACATGTCAAATAATATTTCTTATTAATAAGTAAACATGTTTATTAACAATTTTTTCGTTGAAGTATGATAATATAATATAAAAAATTATTTTAAAATAAGTAACGATTCTTAAATAAGTAACACAAATCATTCTCATAAGATAAAAAAAATAATTATGCATCACCAACCTTCATGACTTATGAATTAAAAATTAGTTACCCGCTTCCTTATATATGTCATCATATGATTATATACTTTCTTTATTTATAATATTTAATATTTTTATATACATTAAATTAATCGTATAATTTTATTATTAAATTTTTATATGCTAAAATATTATTTATTATGTTTAATTAAATTAATATTTAATTATAATTAGTATATTTTATTTTTTAATTGTCAAAAAATAAAATCTAAATAAAAAATTATAAGACTATAGATTGCTTATAAGAAATAAAATTTGTAAAAATATAATATAAATTGCTTAAAAATTATGTGATATGATAAATTTTATTTAAAATAAAATAACAACTTTAAAAAATTACTTAAAAAATGGCCTTTGAAGATGTTTCTACGTTTAAAGAAACTTCGAAATAATGTTTTAAATATCGGATGGGTATACCAACTTATAAGGCCATTGAAGGAAGGAATTTAGGGCTTGTCCCATCGTCTGAACCTCTTGTGTGGGCACAGGAACTCTAGCCTTTGGGTTTCTAACATCCAACACTGAAATCCTTACCATATCATTTCCCATGGTCTGATGGTGCATAACAAACCCCAACATGTGAATCCTCCCTATGCCCACAAGATCGAGTGATCCATCAACGAATAACTCACACTTATTAGATGTACCATGGTCAATGGCAGAAGTAGAGGGATTTGTAGTTGCACATGAACCTTTTGTACTCACATGTGCAACAACTGGTTCAATTG